GAGAGGCTGAATAGTATCTGCCTGAAGATGCTGGTGTCCAGCTCGTCGTGCTCTCAGGGGCTGGCAGAGCAGGGATCTTGATCGGTTTCTGTGGGTTCTTAAAGGACTCCTCCCTTTTGATGGGAAGAGCCCACCTAAACTTGTAAGTCGTATGCCCCTCATCTGCTTCCACTTTAGTTTCAGAGTCCGTTCTCTTTGCATGGTTTGTTCGCTCCGGAGTAAATGCGGTTTCACCTTCTGGAGTCTGTTGAGTGATAGCCCTAGGCTGCCTGCAGAGACCTGCACAGATGGCAGTGTGTTGTCACACTCCTCTTCCAGCACAAAAACATTTCGGTGGGACGCTGTGGAGCGGCTAGAGGAGTCACAGAGGATTGGTAGTTGGTCTCTGCCATCAAAATCTTGCCACTGCTGTTGTAGTGCAGTGACTTAAAAAAGCTGGATGTACTTCTAATACTGCATTTTCTGTGGAGCTGCCTGTTGCAGAATGGGAAGCACCTGAATGTGTGCTAAATTAAGAAGATGTTGTTTCAAAAGAAAAGGAGGAGGAAGGGGTATTAAGAAATGTTTGAGTTTCTTCTGAGTTTGATAAATTTTTAATTAATAATTGAGTGGTATAACCGAGTTTTCAGCTGTGTTCTTTTAGCTGGTGCGAGGCCTTTCTTTGTGTTGTTGTTGTTTGTTTGTTTTTTTCCTGACTCCTTTACTGTTATATCTTATTTGCTACCATCGCTCATTCACAGAAACAAGCATCAAAAGCTTTTAGCCCTTATCTGAAGAGTTTGTTGCTGTCTTTTAGAAGTAAGGTGGTTTGTTTTGCTCTGCACAGATCTTGATCACACAATGTGATTAAGCAGTGGTTGTACCTAACCAGTGCTGATCAGGATGCAAGGGATTCTTGAACTGATGATGATGTATGTGTAGACAAGAGTAATGTTGACAACTGTGTTTTGAATTAGGAAGCTTGGAGGTAATCTCTTTTGTGTAACAAACTTGCAGCCTTGGTAGAGTAAGTTATTGCTAAATATAGTGAAACAAGTTTATTAGAAATGTGTTTGTAAATGCATAAGTAAACATGTTTAAAGGTGTAGAAGTATTTGTAGCATTTAATAACTATAGCAGGTAAATAACCACATGAGGCTGATGGGAGTTCTAGTATTTATGAAAGTCAGGGGTATGCCAGTTGTTGCTGTTCAGCACTGAATGTAAGATTGTTCTCATACCTGTGACGCTTATTAATGAGTGGTCATTGTCCAGTGAAAAACGCAGACCTGTAGTAAGGAGAGTAGTGTTTACTCTGGTTATTTCCTTCCATGGCAATTGTTGTGGTAGTATTTGATTTCTGTAGAATTAACATCCTATTCTGTAAATGGAAAGTATGACATCAGTGTCGTGCTAGTGACCATCTGTCTGTAACACAAATTCATTTCAGAATTTGGCACTATTTGGTGTT